AGGTTTTCTTTTATGCATATCTCAATCTTTAATGGCATGAATGTTGTGATAATTGCATGTTAATGCTTTCCCGTGTGCTTTTCAGGGAGGAATGGGTTCAGGTCCTTTTTCCCTGGGAAGCTTACAGAGATATTAATGTTGCTATCCGTGACAGGAGGACTTTGTCCTTAGCGTTGCGGTTGTACTTTCGCTGCGCATCAGCCGAAGCTTTCTACCTCTGGTGGCTTTTGGAAGTGCTGAGCCTGAACGTTACAGGAGTGACTGTATAATTATGTGTTTAAGGGTGGTTTTTTTTTGGAAGCTATGTGGGCAGGAGTGTCTGCTAAAAGAATGACAGGTGGCGATGGCTATCTTCAGTAACAAATACTGAGAGTATAGTTTCCATTTTAAATTTAATAGAATTTTGAAGACTAATTATTCAGGAAGGGACTCTTGCTGAAGTCACCTTTTGGAAATGTGCCCTTTACCATTGAACAACGCGATCGCGATACTGAGGATTTAAAGATGGAGAACGTGAAAACTCCGGTCAGAGAGAACAAGACATCACGAAGACTCTGCTTAAGGTGAGTTTGATGCTCGTGCCTTTACGCTGTTTGTGTACGTTAGTGAGATTTCTTTTACAGTCCATAGTGGAATTCTGCTGTGCCTTATCTAATTTCATTTTTGCTTCCTTTCTTAATTTCCACTTAAAACTTCTTTGTAATTTTGTTAAAATTTCAGCAGTTAGGATTGTAGGTACATGTATGAGTAATTATTAGTACGTTTTGGTTTCTTTGCATTAATGTGCGGTTAAATGCAGTAACGACATAGTAAACACGGAGTTTAATTCTTCAGGCTTTTTAAAATTAAAAGCAGGGTTTGAGTTTTATAGCTATTTGAAGATACATACGCATGTACTTTCCTTGTAGACAAGTTTATTTTAAAGGGTCGAGAGTACACTCCATTACCATCATAACAAATAACTTTATCCGATGTCTCCCTGATGTCGTTCTTGCTCTTTTCAATGCTGGCTACCTTTACAGCTTTGACTTGCTCTGCTTGTCTCCCAGAATTAATCCGTACGGTTTCCCCATTCGCTGCAGAACAAACGAATGTTAAGCCTGTCTGCAAAGCAGACTGGGCCTTGGATGCTAAGCTACTCCCGAATGAAATGTCTCTCCTCGCCCCCTTTCCTAAAGACAAACTTTGCCCTGTCGACCCTAAAGCTTTTAATGTAATACTGTCTGTTCTTGTTACCGTTGCTCATTGAGGAGTCCGTAAGATTTACTTTTCTGGACCTGTAAAAATGGAAGCATTGCACTAAATATTCTGGATGACTGAAGTATTTTCATTCACATGTATTGTAATCAAATTGGCTGGTACCTGATAGGTGGTGTGCATATACATATATATATATATATGGTAATAGAGCCTGTCATGATGCATGGCTTAGGCGACAAGCTTGCACAGAGATGGGGCTCCCAATTTGTCAAAAGTAGCAAAAACTGGAACTCCTCCTGGCCTCTAGTTGTATGTCCGAAACCGGCCAGAACCTTTGTGGCCCAATCGAAAACTCCTCAACCCTGCTTTGTTCGTCGCGGTGGTTAGAGGCGAGGTGGGCTCTGATCACCAGCTCCCAGCTCCTCAGAACCCCCGTGGATCAGAGCGAGGATTTGGCAGTCTAGAACTAGGCTCACAGCAGTGGGCAGAGCTGGTAAGAGGCACGGTCTTGCTGGTGTCTGGACCAAAGTCTGATTTCTGTTAATATCCATTCTGATGCCGTGGATAGCAAATGAAACGACCAGTGTGCCCAGTCTGAAGCACGAGTTTAATGGCTCCTCTGTCTTCTGGAATGTGTCATGAGAAGTTTGTAAAATGCCGAACTTTATATATATCCAGCTGAGAGCTGGATAAAAGAACAGGAGAATAATTCACCTGTCTTTC